AGGACCTCCCTCTGCCCGACTCGCCGGCTAGGTTTCTGAAGGAGTGCACTGGAGAAATTTCAAAAAATCCCGGAAAAGTTGCAGGAAGCTGGGAAAAGTCTGTAAGGTGGTAGATAGGGTGTGAAGGGGGTCGCACAAAGTAACGAGGTTTGAGGGGGTCGCATTCTGCAGAAATTTCCCTCGCAACAGCAAGGAGTGCTCTGATCGTGGTTGCGGAATCCATAACGCTGGGAAGGGAGACGCATTTGGCCCAGCCATTTTTTTCGTTGATAATCTTCCCCATTTGAAGCGTGTTTCTATGTGGGAGGTCATATTGAAGGAAATTCCCCATATTTGGATGATGTGCCGAGCCACGGAGGGCGACGTGGTTGCAGTCAGGAGCGCGAGAGCTGGAACGAATGAGAGATTATTAGGAAAGGGGGTTCGCCAGGGCCGAAAGCTTCACACCCGCACTCGTTCAAGTCAATATGGACAGATGTGTCTGTTTTTACAGACCCATAATGCGTTCTTGCGATAAGATACCAAGTGATAAGATAACATCACAGTACTACATGCACAATTGATTTATCATATCTACATATGTCGAATTTAACGTGGAAAATGCTGAAGTCATATTTAAATGCCGCCCACTTATCAATTTTTTTGACATTCACCTTAAAATAACTACAGGAATCATTTTCATCCACTAACAGTGCTGATTAAATGAGTTGGCAAGAAACAGAGGGTTACGCGGAACAAATGGCCCTGTTTTCATTCGTAGACTCTCCACAGGTCTACGGACTTTGGACATTGATCGAATAACGATTTGAGCGCTGCGTAATCGATCCGAACCAGTACTCATTCACTTAATTCTTTCGAAGCAATTCCTTAACTCCATAAACTTCGCCACAGAAAAAAGCTGTGCCTTTCCACTCCACAGAGTTTCTTTTTTGCTTATTCGATCTGATCAAGTGTTGTGGGCACTAAACCGATGTTTCGGCCATTTCCACTTTTAATTTGTCTTGTCTTTCCCCTCGTAAATGTCGTTTCATTTCTCATTAGATAGAGGGTTTTCGAGTGATATTTCTATCGTTAATTAAGTTTATATAAACGGAACGTATGCAATGATTTCTTATTAAAAAAACCCTAGCGTAGAAGGAATGCTCAGTAATCATTTACTTATTTTATTCTTTGTTTCCTCCTCGGTAGTTTTATTTCTTTGTATTCCCCATTTCCCCGTGTAACTATTGTTATTAGTCTGAAGAATTTGATATAACCATGCCGACCTAATTCTCCTGAAGTTTAGAACGACTCTCCTATTGCTATCGATTTTTTCCACTCCACCCATTTTTTTGTTTTGTTTTGACTATCACTATTAGTACATTCATCAATAAAGTGCAGAAACCCCACTCGTCCGTTCGATGCTCTGAGAAACTCAATTTCTCAACTTACTTGTTCTTCTTCTTCTTCACTTCTTTGAAATTCCTCAATGCGACTAATATTTTATCGGATATTCTCGCGGTCTCGTTATAATTATCCGCTACTAAAAAATTTTTCTTTTAGGCCCATAGCATGAAGGTCTTGGTTGGAGTAAAGAGAGTGATCGACTATGCTGTAAAGGTAGATAACTATTGATATACTTCTAATTGAGTGCTTCTATTTGAAGACGCTTGAATCTGATTTTAAAAAGTACGCATTACGGAGCCGGATAAATCACTTATAGGGGCGAACCCTTCTTCCTCTTTCCCTTACTATCTTCCCTGTTCCTTCTTACCCTACGTCGAGGGTTCACCCTAACGAAGTGAAAAAAGAAATGCAGGTTCCGGTGGAATGGTCCAAACGCCGCGGTATTGCAGTCTGAGGACCGCAACAAGGTCCAGCAGATTCAATCGGGCGATGATCATCTGCGATTTGCTCTGCAGCGGCCTGTTTTTGGGTGGTCGAGGCAATGAGTGATGACATCTGATGCTGTCTCTGGTGAGACCCCAGATGACGGTCTCTACGGGAACCTCCTATTTCACCTAAGTAGGGTGCTTTTCGCCTTTGTGGGGGTCATATGAAGGGGACCTTATGCAAAAAGCGCTAACCCCTTTTTGAAAAAAAGATGTGATCCATTCACCACGGAGTTCCTTCGCTTCCTGGACCAACGTCAGCGGCGGAAAGGCTATAAGTGGGGTGTGCTCAGACGCCCCCTCGCAGCCCTTCCACCATTGACGTCGGCAACAACCGCCCACCTCCTGTAATCGTACCCACTGCCTTTAACCCCTCTTCCTCACCTAGCACCAGTTTTGCACAAGGACTCCTTCAATGATTAGAATCGCGCAATCAGTTCGCGAAGTATAAACGCGCTCTCAAATGCCTCCCACAATGCGATCAAGTACCAAAAGTGTGTGGGGATAGCTAGAAATTACCCATAAGTATAATATCGAAGCTTCAGCGAGTGGGTGGAAGCAACCATCAGTGCAAGCGTCTGATGCTAAGAAGTGAAGGCACGTGCGGCTAGCAGACATACTGATGCAGGTATTAAACCCAATATGCCTATGATGTAGCGCACCAACGAAAGCGTAGGTTCAAGCAGCGTTAGGCTGGGTGCAGGCCAGCATATTGCGAGAATCGGAGAACTGGAGAAGTCTTGAAAATGGTCTGATCGCTAGCCCCTACCCGCTCGGTTTCGCAGCAGTATCCCTAGGCTGAAAATGAGAAGTGGTTTTGTACATAGGCTAGTGGACCCAGAGTAATGCTGAATGGTTGATGAAATTTTCTCCTCTAGGTTCGAGTGAAGCCCGACAAAACCGGTGTTGTGACAGAGAATGTCCAACACAGCATGAATCCATTCGACGAAATTGCTCTGGAGGAAGCTGTTAAGATGAAAGAGAAGAAGCTAGCGAACGAGGTGGTGGCCTTCTCACTGGGAGGTCCGAAGTCTCAGGAAGTGCTTCGAACAGCACTCGCGAAGGGCGCTGATAAGGCCATTCATGTTGAGGTGCGTCTTTGGAGCCTATGCTCTAATACAATATTTTTTTCTAATAGAATGTTTTAGGTGCCAGATGCTGAGTTACCAAAGATTGAGCCTCTGCACGTGGCTAAGGTTCTTCAAAAAATGGTTGAGAAACACAAGTTCGACGTGGTGTTTCTGGGAAAACAGGTACTTTTGCAGAAATTTTGTGAATTCTCCAATTTTCATGATCGTATAAATGCCTCTTGCAGGCCATCGATGATGATGCGTCTCAAACAGCTCCACTTTTAGCTGGCTTGTTAGATTGGCCACAAGCACTTTTTGCCAGCAAGGTTAGAAATCAGATTATTTCTCAATAAAAAGAGTATATATTTGATAACTACGTCAAGTATTACGTAGCCTCCATGAGATTTTCCTTAGTTTTCCTTACTGTTTTGTATTCTAGTTGTAAAGGTACTACTGGTGTGTATACTGTAATAGATAAGGGAGCTAGTTCAGGAGGTGTGCGTTCGAGTAACTCGTGGGTCTGACTTTTGCTCATAACATGGTATTCTAGTGTATTCCGTTCTGCATATGCTATAATATGCTCTCGCCTGACTCACAACCGTTTCTTAGCCCCTTCCTGGTATGTGACAAGGTAATCGTAATGTGCCGCGTTGGTGGACGTGGCGAGTGACGAAACGCACGACGGACGAGTTGCCCTGTATAGCCGTCCGAGTTCGAGGTTCAAAAGGACGGAAAATTCGATATCGCTAGCCATGCAGTCTACCATCGCTTAGTTTCGTATGAGTTCCGCCGCTCAGACCGAGAAACTGATGCACATCGAGACTTGGCGCACGTCCCTGCATGGTGCAACGCAAGCGACGACGCGGCAAATTAGGATCCTGCCGTCAGCCTCCCTTCCAGCCCTAAATGCCACCTAAATCGTGTGCAGTTGAGATTAATACCGTTTCGTAGCATTAGCACTCTACAGGACTTCCCAAAAATGCCCCGTATGTTAACCCCAAGTTTATAAAATGCCCTCCCTCTTCGCCCCACCACTGGCAGAATTGCGTCTTGTGGGGATATGGCAAGATATTTGATTTTCTGTTTCGCGAGTTTATATGAGTAATATGGTGATGTATCCCAGGTTTTCGTCTCTTTGATGAAATGATCGATTTAAGGTTGAAAAGGTGGACGATGGGTATCTACAAGTGACTAGAGAAATCGACGGAGGTTCAGATACGGTGAAGGTAAGTGGATGATGTGGTTTTTGACATTGATTGTGATATTCAGTGGAAAAAGGTGCTCTGAATTTCCAGGTCAAACTACCGGCTGTTTTATCTTCTGACTTACGTCTGAATGAGCCTCGGTACGCTACTTTACCGAACATCATGAAGGCAAAAAAGAAGCCTATGGAAAAACTGTCCGCAAAAGACCTTGGTGTCGATTTCACTGCTCAGACCAAAACGTTAGAGGTGAGTCTCATCGTTAAGCAAAAACCTATTTCTGTTGCATTTGCACCTTATTAAGGTAAACGATCCTCCCACTCGCCAAGCAGGAGAATTTGTTGAAGATGTGCACACTCTGGTTGCAAAGCTCAAAGAAAAGGGTCTAATCAAAGGCTAATTTTTCCTACAGGAATTTTACTGTTTTAGACAGGATTTTTCATATTTGTTACTTTTATTGTATGTTTTATAAGGAGTGACATGAGGAGCCTTTCTGCCCACTTTCACATGTTTATCATACGGTTGTCAGTGTAGATACCTGATTATAAATTTTTATTTATCTTACTCGAGGCATGGAGAACATTCTGAGATCGAGTTTTTTTTTCCTTGACGCTTAATGAGTCGCGCCAGAAATACTCATGCATAATTAAGGGCGAATTCACCGATTCGTAAACAATACTTTGAAAACAGAATTGAGCGAATAACTTAACGAATTTAGAAATATGACCTAGACAAGAAATAACAACTATACACAAATAGTCTCAGTTAGCAAAAATCCCCTGCCAAGCACCTTTAGCACGCGAAAACGCTGGCATGCGGCGGACGTTCGAGACGCTAGATCGATATCTATACTTTCCTAGTCGCTCGGAAAGCTGGTACGTTGGCATACGCTCACGCAAAGTATGAACGCATCCTTAACAGCAGTGGCCAAACGGTTAACTCGCCTTGCTGGTTACACAAATCACTTACTACAAAAGTCACCGTGACGCACGATTGCCCACTTGTCAGGAAACCAACGAAACTATGTTCAGCTAATCTCATTTTCACAAAGTCCCGCGCATTATTACCCATGTGTTCGGCGCGTGTTCTAAGACTTGCTAGTGCTCTGCTAGTTGCGTTATATATCCACACAGAGTAAAATGAATCGTAAATACCCTCTGTGCTGGAACGGGCATATGGAAGCCCATTCAGAGAGCTTGTCGATTAAGACGCCGATTTTGCCAACCGAGAACTATTTAGGGATATAAAATGACGCGCTATGAATCACTTCCTTGACCACTTGAAGAACGTCCTCGTTAGGCGCATCACCATCAGCCAATTTCGTCAGGAATGGCACTGTATCTTCAGGAGTATACAGGTTGTACTCTGAAAGTATTGCTTCATTTCCTCTGAAGAATTTCTAGCGATGAGTAAAATGGTTCCATTCACTCTCCACTGGATAAGTTTCCTGTTTAAGGCACGCCCCAGGTTCAGAAATGGTGATGTGTGTCTCAGATACTTATGACAAGATGGTAAATAACACAGCAACAGAACAGCGGCACCATCAGGATACTTCCAGAAATGAAAGTTGGGCGTTGTCGGATCATTGGGCGGGTCCCACTTTCCTCAGGTATTTTTGAGCTGCGAAAGTAGCACATTCTTCATGCTTGCGGAAAGGACTACCATGTCCAAAGGCTTCTGCGCATCAAATGAACTTCACGTGCTTCTAAAAATAAGCAGACGAAGAACATCCGATTCTGGACACGCAAGATGAGCATGCGGTCAAAGCGCTGTTGAGGACGACGCTTAGAATTTTCTGCTGCAAAGGGAATCCAAAAAGCCACATGAACCTTGAGCTAAGAAAATTCACTGGTTTACTCTGCCTCGCAACGAACAGAAACGTCTGATGCCCACTCCAGGAATTCGATGATCAACGAGACAACCGGTGATATGTTATGATTTCTTATCAGTTTATTTTCTTGCGACCCGTCATCGCGCACGAACATTGGCTTGTGGGAGGATCCTCTGACGGAATTGCACAAATTAGGGCCCACCGAAACCCTAGAATATAAGTGACCAAATTCAAATGAAGATGGTGACCAGTTTTGAAAAATTCGAATTCACGCGTATCACCCCAGTCCCATAGTTCAGTCCAGCTATTTACATGTCGCTACAAGCTGCAATGGAAAAGATGAAGTGAAGGAACACATGATGCAGTCTCACCTTTCATGGTCTCACTCATAGCACCTCGCAATACTCGCATCCAACATTCCATGACGTGATCGGCTTCTTTACCCGTCTTTTTATCTGAAAAAGGAACAAATTCACTCAAACGAACGGGTCGTTCGGTGAGAGACGTCACACCCAAACTAATAGTAGGACCGCTTAAAGCTGCGTTCACACTTTGCGTCAGCGTACGGCCGGGTTTCGAGCGACTAAGAAATTATAGGCATTGACGTATGCAAGCATGTGCCAGCTGCTGTACGCCGGCACACGCCAGATCGATACCTATCTTTTCCCAGTCGCTGACGCTGCCCTACGCTGACGCAAAGTACGAACGTAGCCTGAGTTCGATCACATGAGGAAAGGAGGGTGTGAAGGTGGCCTGAGTAACTCCTAACCATCAAGGACCTGTCGATATGTAATGACAGAGCAAGACAAAGCGATAGCTTTCACTCTGCAGTGGTCGCTACTAAAGGACGCAGCGAATATCGTGGCAGGACGAAGAAACCAAGGTTACACCCCACTTCTAGCACGTAGGTTTCCTCTGGGTATTAATCACTGACACAAGAAAACCAGAGAATACCTCCGAACCCAAGTAACGGGAATTCTTAATCACTAACCATGAGCAATTTGTGATTCGAGAGCTACATTATTCTTCTGCATCTTTGCGATGGTCTGCTGCAAGGCATCCTTTTCCGAATCAGCATTGCTAATTTCACGGCGAAGAGATCGAAGATGTGCTTCTCGACCTGAAAAGTAAAGAGAACAAGTTACTCGTAAGACCCAGTGAAGTGCTACAGAATGACACACTTTTGTTATATTCTAGAAACTCAGTACTGAAAATCGAAATGTTGGAGTTTGGCAACGTAGGTACCACCATTTCGTCTTTGTCAGCATTCTGCAAAACACAAGTATTTGGCAAAAAAAAACAGCCGCAGATCAGGAACAACGGCCTTTGAAGGAATAGGAAGCCGTAAATTACCTTTTTTTTAGGGGCGCTTTTCTCTGTCTCTTCTTGGTGATCTTGTTGAGTTCTTCCCAAGTCGAATGACTCCACGGCAAGGTTCTTCCTTTGGGGTTCAATCCAGTCTATCGGCGCTGGCTTTCGTAAACCGCATAATTTGCTCTTTCTTCGCTAAAAAAATGAATAATATATTATTTGATCCTAGAAGAGTTGAGCATACGACTAGCAACATGAAGAAAAGAACGAATCAGTTCAAAGTTGAAATCAAAGCAAGACAACTGGTTTGAAGGAGCGAGATGTCTACCCTTTCGATCAGCTGGCTTACAGATAATGAATGATAACAAATTCTGTAAAATGACTGTCGGTCAAACGGTTAAAACCTGAGTGAAAGGAATGATCGTGATGAAACAAAGAAAACAAGTGATTAGTTGGTGGAAACAAGAATAAATACAAGAAACAGAAGACGACAAAGGATCCAGGCCATTTTGTTACTTCCTACAAGCTTTACGTTCGCCCTAATCGCTGGACATGTGGTAGCAACGGTTATTTACCGCACCCAAAAAAGATATTCAAGCGCTGGAATCTGTTCAGAATAACTTTACTCGTAAACTAATGCTTAGATGTACGGGCTTAAACTACTTAGATATACCTAGAGGTTTCTGTTAGGAATACGACGTACGGGCTTAAATCTCTCGAGTGGAGGAGGAAGAGATATGATTTACTGATGGCTTACAAAATATTAAATGGCTTAGTGAAATTGGACGTTGAACAGTTTTTCCAAGTACTGTCTACTAATACAAGAGGAGTGAGTATCAGACTTAGTGCCACGTTTGCTAGGACTCAGTACAGGTCAAGGTTTTTTAGTAATAGAATTTGTACCAACTTCAATTCGCTCTTACGTTCGAATGTGTTCCCTTTGAAATATGCTACTTTCAAGAGGCGGGTCGGTGATTTCATTTGAAGTGTTGTAGTTACTGTCTGCATATGTGAGCGTAGAAGCAATATAATCGGTTTTTATCTGAGCTGGTTTTGTTTTTGTGTTGTTTTAAAGCATTTTTGCTTTGGTCTTGTTTTATGTTCTATGTGCTATTGCACGTCTAATAAATGAATGAAATAAATGAAGATAAAACCACAAAAAACCATGAACTAACGAAGAAAGAGCTGAAAACATACCTATAAACTCCTTATAGTGGTCGGTTTGCTCATATGCCTTCAGCTCAATTTGGTATTGCTCACGTTCCTTGTTGGCCAAATCGAGAAATGGCTAGAAAGGGAAATACCATGATGAGGAGAAAACTTTTTAAAACTCGCAAAAAATTCGAAGTTTATGACCTTTTTACACTTTTGAACATTCGCAGAAGTCCGAGAAATTAATAGGAAGAAATTCCACAGAGAATTCAACATAATGGCAACGCTGAAGGTGACAGCTGTTCCAAGAGCGATCACCGCCTGGATTTTATAGTATCTCAAACGAAACTTTGGAGGACAGCTGCCTACCGCATATCAGACTTCTTCGTGGAGGCTCAAAACGGATGAAGTTTGTTGTGTTAGGGCTACAGAGAACTCCACTGGGCCACTCCAGCTTGCAGGAACGAATGGAGACGTCAGTGGCGTCAGCTCGAGTAACTCGATGATCAGCGGGAGCAGAATGATGCAGGTGCTATTCACGAGGAAGTTTTCCCGCGACTACCATACAACAAATCGAATTTTGATCTGTTTTTCATATACGAAATGAATTAGGGCAAAACTGAAGAGATTCTAGTTTTGACACGCCATTGTGCGGAAGCGAGCACGCTTCCTGACAGAGAAGAGCTAAAGGAGGCTTGTGATGGGGCAGAGAGAATGAACGCGAGTCTGTAACTGTCACGAGGGTGCAGGCAATGTAACTGGAAACAGATGATCTGGGAAAGAAAGCCTGAAATCGGATTCATTGAAGATGACCAACAGACGAAGAATACGAGTTTCAATGCCGCTCTTGTGAGTTGGCATCAGAACGTGGTGCCACTTGGAAAAATGTTATATTTCATGGTCAGAAGGATTGACGTGTCTAGAAGGAACAAAAGAATCCCATGATCTGAACATGAAACACGTGAAAGAGGCGCCAAAAATTTATTGCAAAAAACTCAAAAGACTCAAAAGAATCCAAAAGTTCTTGCAAAAATTTTTGTTTCTAATACTTCCTTCGAATATTTCGGTGCCTAGCACCTTCCTCAGCGATCTGAAATACTATAGTTAGTCGTCTGCAACCCGGCGAATGCCGTGATCTTGTCTTTCAGTGGTGGCGCCGAAGATTCAGGACTTCGGGTTGCAGACGACTAACTATAGTATTTCAGATCGCTGAGGAAGGTGCTAGGCACCGAAATATTCGAAGGAAGTATTAGAAACAAAAATTTTTGCAAGAACTTTTGGATTCTTTTGAGTCTTTTGAGTTTTTTGCAATAAATTTTTTGGCGCCTCTTTCACGTGTTTCATGTTCAGATTACAATGAGGCTCCGGGACAGCACCATATTAAGAATCCATTGATTGTTCACGGAAAAAAAAAACGCGGCGTGGTCTGCATGGAACCCTATCTAGAGGAAAGAAATCAGCCACGAGCTGAAGTTTTTCGCTACACATGCGAAACCTTGTAGATGGAGAGCATGAGCTTGTCGAAACTGATGATCTTGCAGGTAATAACTCCTGCTCTTATCTGGGCATATGTGTAGAATTCGATTCTGCAGCCAAGTGTTGTAGGCTTTTTTCTCGAACTTCAGGCGGAAAGATTACAAGAGGTGAAGATGACTAAAAGTTTGAGGAAACGAGGACCATTCTGTACCTGACGTTGTTCGTCTGAAAGTGATTGCCATTCAGCAGCTAACGCAACATTTATACTTTTCTGATCGCATCCTTGCTTTACTGTACCGTATTTCGAGCGGCGTGAGCTAAACACGGAATTGGAAAAAAATTCGAAAAATGAATAAGTGAACGACAAAAGAAGTCTCACCTTAGGAAATGTACATAGCCAGAACGAGGTTTTCGCGGAGCATGCGGGTCCTCAACTTTGGTCCACGTCCTTCCGGTCACACCGGGTTTCTGAATAAACATATGAAAATAAGCCTTTTCTGGAGTTTATGCAAGGCCCACTCATGTATAGGGCGCACACCACCGATCACCGCCAAACGCCACGAATGTTTCTTCCTCACTTCGATTTTGCATGCAAAAAAGGCATGTCCACCAACTCTTCGCGCGCGACTCTTCGACGTGCGCCTTAAGCGCCGGAAAACAGGGTAAATTGACTGCTGAGCCTTTTGAAACTCAATAGCACATTGACAATAGCAATAGCTAAGGAGCCATGCCGTTTCGTTAGTCAGGCTAGGTGGGAAATCTCCACTGAAACATAAGCAGACATGAATGGAGAAAGTATTATTGCGGCAGAGCAGTCTGAGTGGAACTTCGGAGGTACAACAACAACTAAGCTCCCTGTGACGGCATTTCTCGAGGAACCAGATGAATTAGTAAAAAATGGCTCAATACTGTTCTGAGCGCCAATAATCTGGGGTGGGGAGGGGGGTGCCACACTTGTAAGCTCTTATCAACATACCTGATCGGTAAACCGTATGCATGCGAATACCGCATAACCTTGTCAACAACCTGTAAGCCTTGTCATCACCTGTCGGCACCCTGAAAACTCGTGTCAAACTTGTCTTAACGACAGTCCAGATTTGGAAGAAACTAAATGACGCTAGTGACATTTCGCCAAGTATGACAGGAGTTTACTGGGTACTTGACTGAAACTTACAGGGCTTGCAAAGTGAGACATGACTGTGAGAAGAAAGAAGAAAAACAAAGTTTAAAGAGATGCATACGTTGAAAAGCGCTTACAAGTGTGGCACTCCCCCCCCCTCCCTGAAGTGTACATATGAGGGCCCTGCTCCGTTCCGGAGTCCGAGTTGGTCCTTATTAATGTGAAACAATGGGAAAAGGAGAGTACTTCTTATGGGAGCGATTCTCACACTACTTCGGAAACAGATTTCGGGAGTGGTCCAGAACAGCTTTCAGGAACAGTACACTAATAACAAAAGGTAAAAGATCATGTCCAACCTTGTCCTTCTTACTTTTGTAACGTCGTTTTCGTGATCGCTCGCTGTAAAGTGAGGCCTGACTATCATAAGAACTGTCAAATTCAGTTTTGACAACAACTCCACTGCTCATGCTACCTTCAGAAGTTTCCTAAAATTCCCACTAAAATTTATTCATACTGAGGAAGCCGCAGCACAGCACAACAGATCTCAACTGATAGCGTTTCGAACATCGAAATCACGAAAATCAATTCCAGATTACTAATGAAAAGATGAAGCAGTAAAAAGCAGCTCGTTGAGAGTATGAAATCAGATTCCACTTCAAAATTGTTAATGAGTGAGATTAAATAGATGAGAAGATGAAAACTGAAGCCATTCATTTTAGAAAGTTAGGAGTGTAAAGAGATCCATACCACATCAAACATTTTATTTGCTGGATATTTATTATCAGTATTATTATTTATTTGTTTATTTATTTATTCTGTAGATATGTTAAAGAACATGTGAGTAGAAGTAGAATAAGAGAACCGCAATTTCCGATGAAGCTAGAGACAAAAAAATTAAACAAACACATCAATACGTTTCTTAAAGGTTACATATTTCTGCGGAAAAATATTTGCCCGTAAAAGGTTATTAAAACCTGAGCAAACTCTGTTACAGAAAAACTTTGATCTGAATTGAGTTTTCGCATAGTAGTATTTAATCTGATCGATGCTCCTCTTGTGTTGGACGGTAACATAGAAAAGAAGTCCTCTACACATATTTTTACCAAATCTTTCAGAAATTTGAACACCATCAGTAGGTCATTATTTAACTTTTTATTCCTGTTTACCATTTTATTTATTTGTGTGCGCGTCAGCTGTCATTATTAACAAATTATTGATTACAACTGGGTGAACATGTCCTCAACTTAAACTAATGGCCCACCGGGAAAAGTCTTTCTCAAGCAAAACTCAACTCGATTGCATAACACGGAAACCAAATCGACCTTGAAACCAAGAAGGAGAAAAAACCCTCGCTGGAGCATCAGATAATTCCAAACTCTTCCGACGAGATGGTCCAGCTCAAGGACGTTGGTAGCGTAGATCAATAGGGCAGACGCTCTGAGTGATTCTTGCTAGCACATAAAATTCAAGAAACGTTAGCCTCACTAAGCAATGAGCCGGAACTGCCAAAATTCTGCGAAAGTGTTGCGATCCTCCCGGGAGGTCAGGTCACCAGCACCCAGCAAGTGATTTGTCTCACCGTGAGGGCGGCAAGATATTTAATGAAACCACTCTAATCCTTCACTTTTAATCAACTGAACTTCTAAATAAATGCATTTTGGCGATGATGCCGGGTCGAAAACTCTAAACATAGAACTTATAAAAGTTGAACTCCCTCGAAATAATACTATTAAAAGGCTCTGGAGCCGCTCAAATGAGAAATTCATAAAATAATTGGTGAGCCCTTCGCAGGTTCCTCATTGCTATTGAAAGTAGCCCAGTAAAAACTGAATGTGACTGGATGATGACCGGGAGGCTTGCCACGTTCCCGAAGAATCTTATGAGTACTGAATCAGTTCAACATGAGCACGGCCAGATCAATACCGCAGTGATATATATCAAAACTGGCAGCGTTTTTCATTCATGATAGACAATCCATACGGAAAATTATTTTTCAAAATCAGTTTGCTAATGATATGAAGAATGCTCTGCAAGGGGATATTTATCTTGAATGACATAGTTTTTTGGCAGTCATCTATTGGTAGCTTAGTATTGTTGAAACAGACTGTTGCAGGTTCCAATTTTTAACAGGTGAACTGGTTACCTGAGTGGAAGGAACAAGGTGAAAGCAACGAAACCACAGAAAAATTAGTCTTGAGGGCAAAAGCGTCCGTCCCTCTCCCCCTCCTTTCCACGAACATGAAATGGCTGGAATAATCAGAACTCTCAGAAGAGCTTATCTCTTGAAGCATATATTGACGAATATTAACGATTAACTTTTTCAATAGAGGGAAGGAGGGAGAAAGATTCAACTGTATTCAGGAATCCCTTTTTTACATGTTTTGAACCACTCAGAGATTTACAGAGTCAAGATCAAAAAAGAATTCTGGAATTCGATCTATCTGGAATCATCCTGAAACTCTGCATATCTCAAAAATAATAGCTATTGCTACAACTACTCAGCATTTCACCTGACTTTAACCATGAAAATGGGACTGAACTGGAACGCAAACCCCTTTGACAGCGACTTATTCTGTCTAGAATATCCTTGTTGAAGGGGGGCGGCATTCCTTCTGTTGAATTTCCACTAATTCAATTTAATTTTTGCATACCAATCAATACCACCTTTCAATTAGGTAGGCAGATAAGTAGAGAGAAATCACGAAATGGGCGGTGAAATGCATTCTACTCTAAAATAATGCAAAACAAGTTTAATGCAGGTCGGGTTCTGAACCATTTCGTATTTTTTGTATGTTTAAACCGCTGTAAGAGATTATTCAGGTAAATAAAATTCGGTGAAAGAAGTGAAGAAAAACTGAGCAATTCAAAAATCTGCGTCATTTAGGAGTCTGTGCGGCTTGCGGACAGTAGACCTCATTTTGGACAAGGGTGGTCTGATTGTGAGCCTGAGCAGCAATATCTTCTTCGTGGCCTCAATGTGTGGAGTGGATATTGATTATGCGTGCATAAATAAACATATAAATAAGTGAATATTCCAAAGTGCACGTATGCACTTGAATTCTCAATAACTTGTACATGGAGATCGTTAAGTGGCGTGCTTTTTTTTATAAAACTGGAGGTTAATACGAAGGCTTCAGAGATTGAGGTCAACAAAAACCTTGTTTCAATGTGTCAGGGTTGTGTCTGGGTCGGGGGTTGAGTGTTCCCATCGAAATTCATTCGCTCCCGGCTTATACCATGTACTATTATTACTACCATGATCCGTCACCAAAATGACCAGGTAGTGCTCTTGGGATCCTGAGAAGAGATGATCTCCTTGGCATATCAATCGAAAATCTTTTCCAATGGGTTGGCCCATAAGTACTGGCATTTTTTTCCAACTCGAAATTTCGCGTCAATGTTGGAAAGTTTAACTGAAGACGTTTCTCTGTTTGGTAGAGGACTTCTTGCCCTATGAAAGTGCCTGCTTGGATTTTCCGGAGGTTCTATTTTTACAAGTTTTTAGGTGTTTCAAGAGGCCCTACTTTTTTCCAGTAAAAGCTGAACTTGCAAAGGCCCATGTCAAATATATGCTCAAGGAACGATGTTTCTCGGGCACGAAAACGGTCTAAACGATCTAAAACTTCCCATTTCGACGTCACAGACAAGCATTGCACCTGATGCCATCATTGCGTCTGACTAGGAGCTTACTGAACCAGCTTATCAAAGACCAGTCGGATCGCCCGGCTGACGCCGAGCTCTCCTCCTTCTCTTGACTCGGCTTCGCGCTCCATAATGGTAAACGGAACCCTTTCAATCACTGTGCTGCTCATACGGCACTGTACTGGTCGAATCAGAACAAACAGAGCAACCCTGCGGATCCTGCACCCTAAGATTGCCTGTCACCCGTCATCAATCTCCTATCACTAAAACTCTGTAATGTGGTAGTGTAAAAGCCTCAACACTTTGACTGAACAACAACGGCAACTTTCCTTATCAGCCCCTATCAGCTGTTATCACCTCCTGTCACCCGCCGTCGATGTTCTCATCTCCCACTCCACATCATTTTCTGAAATAAACGCCTAGCTGATGCTGTGTCCCGTGTATGGTATGCTGACCTTCCCTTTCTAACTCTCCTTATCGAATCTTATCACCTCCTAGCAGTTCTTGTCACCGACCAATAATGTTGCTGTGCCATACCCTATATCATACCTTGGAATCAACGAACCACAGTTGCTGTGACCCGCATTATGAGCATGTTGACCATAACATTCTGAGGCCCCTTATCGAATCTTATCAGCTGCTAAAAGTTCTAGTAACCCACAAATAATCTTACTGTCTCATTCTCTACATCATATCTCGGAACTAAGTCCCATTGCTGCTGTGACCTGCACTATGGACTGGGTGACCGTACCCTTTGGACGCCCCTTATCAGATCTTATCAGCTGATAACACTTCTAAACCCACCAATAGTTTTCTGTCACACGCCCTCCATCTCTTTCTGGAACGTAAAGTCTCACTGCTACTGGGACAGGTGTTATGAATTTCGTGACAGACACCACACACAGCCACACATAGCGGATTATATATATAGATATCTACGCCAAAGAATGGGGAGTTGTTAGAGGTCATGGAATGCTCCCACATCATCGAGCACCATCCTCATTTGACGGCAAATTTAGGTGAATGGGCTCTGCAGGCAGCCGCTCCCCAACAGGGCGCCCCATGCCGTGCACACTTAGAAGGTCAAACTTCCCATCTTTCAATCATTTGGACCGACTTCAATAATTCCTAAGAAGCATCGTTTCTTGGCAATTCTCATCACAAGTTTTGAGCTGCTTCTGCAGTTACAGAGCAAGTGCAAAATGCTGGTGTCTAAACTCTCACTTAGGTCGACTCGGCTCGAGTTCATTTTTGATGAACTGAAAATTGTCAAAGCTCAAAAAAGAGTGAGCAACCGAGAACACTGGGTTGTAGAGCAGGATGTTGTCTATCAAACAGCACAGGAGATGTTTCGAAAGCTTTTCACCTCCCACACAGATTTTATGGGGAAAAATGCCATTACTGATGGGCCAACTAAATACACGGCTCTTTTCGACGTTAATTTGGAATCCGACGATCGGCAAGTATCGTATTTTACTAGGACAGCTTGTTCGATTACATTATGTGGCTATTTCAGTTCCAACTAGACTTCTGAACATCTTTTGGAATGGCTTCCATAATGAAAACAAGGAGAACTGTTGGCCCCTGTGCGTTCGTAGGGGGGGGGTGGGTGCTCTCAATAAACCCCTAAAAATGTGCCAAAGCATTCTTAAGTGATCTATGAATGCTGCAAAACCATGAAATAGCACTGGTTTGGTGAGCAATTAATCTGAAATGCTTCTCCAAGCTGTCTTCCACGTTTCCTAGCTTATGATTAGCTGATTTCAGTATAGTGTCAGGATCATAGTTGGGTAGTACGGCAACAACCAGCTGAGGCCTGAACTTG